TAGGGTTGGTCCCACAAGAAGGCAATTTAGGGATTGTATATGATCAGACTGATTTTGGGCCCTCAAATTAAAGAGTCAAAAAACTGATGCGTTAGTGACCATAATTTCTAGGGAGTTCATCAACTTCACAAATGTATTAAAGAGTCAAAAACTCATGCATCAGTGACCAGAAGTTCCCAAACGATTAAGCCAATAGGCCAAACTAAATTGAAGTCCCCAACGACACTACGACTCTATCTCTCTCACTCCCCGAGTTTTCCAATTTCTGATTATCCATTTTGTCATTTGTTTGCGAAACAATTTTTGACTTAAATTCTGATTTATAAAACTCTATGAAGTTAACAAACTTTTATATACCGATTATTGAAATTTGAAGTTCTAAAGTTCATTTTTTAGCCGAAATTGATTTCTCAATCTCTATGACTTTATTATCTCTTCTACGAGTCTGAATCTAACGGTAAGCGAAATATGTTAATCTCGTAATTTACATTCACTCATCTCTTAAGTATTTTAGGTGTTTCAAGTTAACGTTAGTTTTGATACAAAAAAAATGAAAAATATCGAAAAGACAGAGACAATATGGGAGAGACATCACGGGCATGGATGAATTTAGTTTAATTTCAACTTTTATTTCATGGGTGTATAATTATATATAATTCCGTTTTAGTTTTTTGGTTTTCTTGATTTATGTTGCATGATCAATTGCTATAAAGGATAAATTTTTATTAGTTTGACTGATATTAAGGGGTAAATCGGTACATAGTTTTTGAATTTGGTATGATTTCAAGATTTTATTTGATAGGTGTTGTTCTTTATTTCATTATGATAGTTTATAAATTGCAATTCAATATGGATATCCAAACTTGATTGTATGATTATGTTTTTTACTAATAAAAACAACATGAAATGGTGTTTTCTGTATGATTATGTTGATCAACTTGTTCGGAAGCATGATTTGCCCAAACTACATATATACAAAATCTTGTAAGTTTGTCCGATTAGGATCCTAAATCCTCATATAATGTCGTGACACATATTTTCGGAAAGGAGTAACGAAAAATATTAAAGAGATGTTTGAAAGATTAGAATATGATCTTATGTTCCGTTTCAATTGTATATGTAGCTTATTCTAATAAAATTATTAAATTTTATTATATTTCAGTGTTAGTTACTTGATTATAACTTTATATATTTTGTAGGGCCTTATATTTGTTTTTATCTCAGATCTCAAATCGGTTTGAAAGAGACCTCAAATCAGCTTGAAACCATACAAGACTTCGTTTAACAATATAAACTTCTGTTTTGGTGTTAAAACTTAAAATGATTTCTGAATATTTCTAAAGAAAACTTTTAAAGATGTGTTTTATCATTTATGAGAAAAATCATGATTTGTTCGTATCCGGAAGACTGAAACAATTTTACAGTTTGCAACACCCACGTATCTCTGTTGCAGCGACGTGGCTGTACGGACGGTGTCAGAATACGTTCCGTTACTCCCCTTCTCCATCTTCTCCATATTTTGTCGCTTTCTCTATAATCCACACTAGAAAATAGAAAAAATCATCCTCTATTTCTTATCTCTTTATCTTTCCAGTTTTCTGATTGATTAGTTTAACTGTATTAATTCGATACACTATAGGTTTTTCCTTATTTAGTTGCGCATGATGAACGCAGTTCCTTTTTTCATATGAATTTCAGTGATTTTCTGTAGATTTTACGTTTCATTTTCATGATCTGTTTTGAACGCGTTTTGATTCTCCCAATTGTTCGTTTATGTTCGATTCCTGTTTCCCTTACTTTACATTACGATCTGTTGTCTTTTACTTTTGCTCGTTTAAGCTTTTTGTAATATTTTTGCTCTGGATATGTTTCCTACAGATCGCCGACGATGGAGAAAGGATCTGAAAACTCCGGCTCATCTGAGTCAAAATCGATGGAGAACGTCCCTTACCTCGGAACCATCCTCACTTTACCAATCGAAACAACCGTCGGCAAAGGTAGTTTCGAGAACAAAACCCGAGTAGCTTTCAGTGACAAGCAGACGGGTTCCTATGGACGTGCAACGGCGACGGAGAAGGTGTCCGCCGGAGACTTTCAGTGAAAGAACGGAAAGAGTGGAACAAGGAATGAATACAAGGAAACTTCTACTGTCAGAATCGGAGACAAGAGTGGCTACACAGAGGTCTACAACGAGCAGAGGGTTCGTAATGTGAGTTTCAACAACAACAATGACAACAAGAACAATGACAACAAGAACGTCATAGCATACGACCATGGCTATGGTGATGAGCATGGTGGGTATGGGTATGATTCTGATTCTGACAATGGCGATGGTGTTGAGTATGGTGGGTATGTGTATTATTCCGATTCTGATTCCGACTATTAGGTGTTGTTTAATCCTAGGGTTTATGTGAGTAATGGTTTAGGTTTATGACAATATGATCTTGGAATAAAGCTTCTCCAGATCTTTATCTGTTAGAAGAACTATTATCTGCTAGTGTTTGCTTTTGAAATGATCATAGTTTGTTTTCTGGATTTTTGCTAATGGTGATTTCAGTAAAATTGTGTAGTTTTTGTTTGAATGGACTAAAGCTTATATATTATTTGTATTTGTATGATGCTAAATAATATGGGACTAGTTTTCAAATAACTAAAGTTTTATGTTTAAAAGAACTTTTAATGTAAAGTGAACACTTTTTAAAATTAGAAATGTCTATATAATATGTAATGTAATGGTCTTGATAAATATTGTTTCGGTTTAGGAAAAATAGATGCAATTGTTTGGGGATATTTGTCTGTTTGACATGAACAGAATTTTTGGATTAGTTTTGCTGAATAGGACTAAACTATTGTAAGATATGAAGAGCAATTCAAAAAAACAAACCAAACAAATGTAATCAAATAGATTATACAAATGGGAGACTTTATTATTAAATTAATGATTTATATCATTAGTCTGAAAATTGAAACTCGTAAAAATGCGTTTTCGATCTCAGACTATTTTGTTTTGGATAAATTGTCATCGTGGTAAGTGGTAATATACTAATATAGTATATAGTATTTACATTATTAGTCCCTAAAAAATAAAAGAACTTGCTACGTTACCCTTTAGCAATGAGACATGCTTCACTCCGGCCTATCCACATTCCAGTACTAGAGAGCAAAAAAAAAAAAAACAAGTCTCCATCCAAATTTATTAGAATATGGGAACCGGAACCACATTAAAAACTTATAAACTGATTTAAGCCAAATGTTACAAAATGTTACAATTTTTTTTAACAATTGCCTATTTAGGGACCTCATATTTTATGTTGAGTTCTCTTCAATGTACATGCTCACACAACCGATGCGGGAATTGATACAAACATAGCTAAAAGTTGTTAATCGAGTTTGATTTATAGCTTCCTTTCATTCACATTCATTTATATAGGGGTCAATGTGGGATGGTGTTTGTATTACAAATATAATCGCATAGTAAGCCATTTCACTAGGATTAATTGGTGCTTAAAAACGACAAGTTGGATCATCTCTTTGAAAGTTTTAATTATGGGCAGGTATGTGGCGGTTTGATTCGACTTTTAGCTAACCGAACCATAACTATTATAAGTGGTTAATCATTTTGGTAGCCATTTGGTATTGGTTAATATTTGTTTTGGTTAACGGTTTTTGTCGGTTAATAATTAATATTGGTTAATCATAATGGTCGAAAATGAGATAAAATACAAAATACTTTGCTATAAAAATTGAAATACATATACTAGAAGCTGCTGCATCTCAGGATATGTGGATATAACATTCATTCTTTGGAGTTGCAGGGTCTAACAACGACATTGATATTCTTGGCAAGTCTCTTTTTTTTCAATGATCTTTGGACCAGCAAAGCATCTGATATGTCGTTCACGGTGAACGGGCATTCGTACAAATACGGTTATTACCATTGTGATGGGATATGCCCTGATTATTCTACATTTATGAAGACATACTCGGTTCTTCGAAGTGAAAAGACAAAGTTGTTCACAAAAAGGTAGGAATCAACAAGAAAGGATACCGAGAGGGCATTTGGAGTCCTCACACAAACATAACATGTAGTGAAATACGCCACACAACTCTAGGATAAAGATAGAATTAAACGAATGGTCCAAACATGTATTAAAATGCATAATATCATTATTGAAGATCAATGTCGAGCGATTTACATGTATGATCCGAACGACATAGTCATTCCGATTGAATAGTTAGTACACGGAACGACAGAATTTTTAGCATGAGTTGTTGAAATTCATAAAAGCGAAATGTGTTTCAACCTTCGAGAATATGTGGCAGAACATTTGTAACAATTAAAGATGAAAGAATATTAGTTTTTTTTTTTTTATTTTTTTTATTTTTTTTTATGGTTTGAATTTTTATGTTTGTTTGTTTTTTTTATTCTAGTTTTTTTTAAGTAGTGTAATGTTTCTTTATTGAATGAAAAACTAGTTAATTTTTTTTAATGTTTTTATTGTATTTTCATTGTATTTTTGAATAAAAAAAATTATAAAAATAATGTGGAGTGGAGTGGTAGTGGTGGATATTAAATCACTTAATTTCCTTGAGAAAGATCTTAATACATGAATCAATTTACTTGATTCTATTAGAATATTTCAAACAAAGAAGGAAATTCGTATAGGAGCTTATCAGGAACAAAACTTGAGAATCGATTCACTTGATTCTGGAAGGATGAAGCATGAAGCAAAATTTATCTATGCAGGAAAAGGAACATATGAACAGGACATAAACGAAACAGGGGAGAAAAAAAAAGTTGCTTGGAAGCTAAACAATTACTAAGTAAAACGTGTTTTCTTGAATAAATTAACAAAGCAACAATTACATCTATATATACTAAATAAATTGGTATCCTAGTCAAACTTTAAAACTAGAAGAAAATCTATTTAAATATAAAAACTTCCGAAAATATGGGCCCCGCCCTAGGGTATAATTCAACCCAATAATATAATACTTGTAATGTCGAGGGCCAGATCTCAGTCTTACATACAAATGTCGTGGGCCACCCCCATGGTCTTTTCCTTGTAATACCGAGGGCCAAATCCCCGTTTTACTTACAAGGGCCATGGGCCACTCCGTGCATTTAGTATCATTAACATATTCTTCATTTTAGGTATATAAATT